ACGTTACTTTTACGTCATTCAACTCGTGAATTCTTGCCATTTCATGACCAACTTGTAACGTTATTTTCACGTGCTTGTGTTATTTGGGGACGCATTTCTTTAAAAAAAAGTTCTTACGTTACTTTTACGTTATTCAACTCGTGACTTCTTGCCATTCCCTGACCAATTTGTCACGTTATTTTCACGTGCTGCTGTTATTTGGGGACGCATTTCTTCGAAAAAAAGTTCAGTTCTTACTTTACTTTTACGTCATTCAACTCGTGACTTCTTGCCATTTCATGACCAATTTGTAACGTTATTTTCACGCGCTTGTGTTCTTTGGGGACGCATTTCTTTGAAAAAAGGTTCTTACGTTACTTTTACGTCATTCAACTCGTGACTTCTTGCCATTTCATGACCAATTTGTCACGTTATTTTCACGTGCTGCTGTTTTTTGGGGACGCATTTCTTTGAAAAAAGGTTCTTACGTTACTTTTACGTTATTCAACTCGTGACTTCTTGCCATTTCCTGACCAATTTGTCACGTTATTTTCACGTGCTGCTGTTATTTGGGGACGCATTTCTTCGAAAAAAAGTTCAGTTCTTACGTTACTTTTACGTCATTCAACTCGTGACTTCTTGCCATTTCATGACCAACTTGTAACGTTATTTTCACGTGCTTGTGTTATTTGGGGACGCATTTGTTTGAAACAAAGTTTTTACGTTATTCAACTCGTGACTTCTTGCCATTTCATGACCAATTTGTCACGTTATTTTCACGTGCTGCTGTTATTTGGGGACGCATTTCTTTGAAAAAAGGTTCTTACGTTACTTTTACGTCATTCAACTCATGAATTCTTGCCATTTCATGACCAACTTTTAACGTTATTTTCACGCGCTTGTGTTATTTGGGGACGCATTTCTTTGAAAAGAGTTCTTACGTTAATTTTACGTTATTCAACTCGTGACTTCTTGCCATTTCATGACCAATTTGTAACGTTATTTTCACGTGCTTGTGTTATTTGGGGACGCATTTCTTTGAAAAAAGTTCTTACGTTACTTTTACGTCATTCAACTCGTGACTTCTTGCCATTTCATGACCAATTTGTCACGTTATTTTCACGTGCTGCTGTTATTTGGGGACGTATTTCTTTGAGAAAAGTTCTTACGTTACATTTACGTCATTCAACTCGTGAATTCTTGCAATTTCATGACCAACTTGTAACGTTATTTTCAAGTGCTTGTGTTATTTGGGGACGCATCTCTTTGAAAAAAGGTTCTTACAATGTAGGTGTAGATGATGTAGATATTTTGCTCAGAGGTCATTTAAAGAGCAAACTTCGGTCACTGACAAACTGTTGCTTTGATATCCTGAAACTGCGTGGCTGCCGAGTATTCGACTTATTCGGATGTTAATTAGTACAGTATGAAGTTCATGACAAAATAGAGCGTGTGTTACCCTAGAAACTATAATTCAGATACTTAGTTTCTGACTTGACCTAAGTTGTCACAACGTAAACGACTTGCATTTGGATTTTAGAATAATTCCATCAATTTAGATTTGTTCTTTTGACTCTAATAAAAGAAAGAAAAAATAGAAGCTATATCTTTCTTGTATAAAGTTAAACTTATAAGTATAAATAAATAGTTGATCTCTCTCAGAGCCTCAAATACTTAAAAATAAAATCACTTGTGTAATGACAAATACAAAAATAGATAAAACAGGGACGAAAGACGTATTCGTTATCACGAAAGACTAGATAATATAATAGCTGTGGATGTACATTCCACAACAAAATGGACCAGAAATGTATATAAAAAATCGATAATTACAATTACTTAATCTAAAATAGACGAGGCAAAAATCTCGCATTCGTGAAAGATATTTTCCGACCTGTTTCTTTTTCAAAGTTTGTCAGATGCCCCTTATCATAACAAAAAAGGTCCTTTGTAAATTTTCTCTGAAAGTGACAATAAGCGATTCAAAAATAGCAGTTTTGAATCATTGAAAATGTACAAATGCGATGTTTTCGTCTCATCTGAAAATAATTCATTGATAAGCATTAGGATGAAATTGCCATTAAAAAATATGCCTGCGGAATAATTACTTATTAAGAACTGACAAATAAGCAATTTCACCATCAAGCTCAAATTGAGTGTATAAATATAAAACTATAAAAAATAAAAATATAATTAAAACATTGCACCGTGTTGACCAGATCAAAAGATATAGCTAACTTGTCTAGAGTGTTGTGAACATTTTTTATGTTACTAACGTTTATTTCTATCACCATGCGTTTCTATTGTATATATTATTTATGAATATGTTAGCGGTTGATTATGTTTGACTTTCAGTGATTCCTACACGTTACTTAAAGCAAGCTAGAGGTGAGAAGAAATGACTCTTCAAAATTGAAAAAAAAAACATGTAGTGTCTGCTGGCCAAAGTCGTTTTCCTTTTTAGATTTCCATGTTTGCGAGAGAGCCTTATATGGCGCACTCTTTCTAACAAGCTTCTCTCTCTTGTACATATGGAAATCTAAAAGAGAAAACGACTTGAGCCAGAACCGTATATGACTATCAAGCTACTGTTTTATTAGTCGACCTGACATCAGTATTTACTTATGTAATATCGAGTCCTGCAAAGAAGACTATTGAAACTATTGAGGCATTACAAGATCTTCTGATGAATTTCATTGTCAGAAAAATGATGATCTCATCAAAAATATGTTGCACATTGCAGTAATTCTTGTATATAGAAGGTTATAAATGATATTAAAATACAAATCTAACAAAAATCACAATTTTTTTTTAATAATTTTTGTTGACTTACTATAGTTTTCGTTGGATCAATTAAAGAAAATAGTGCACTTGCTCTAGTCTTAGTAGGATATTTATTGGAATATTACAGTATTTTTCAAACAAATAGTCGAAAAAGAACCTGTTTAATGTCAATCTGAGTCACTCAAATTATATTCATCTGTGTGTTCTTCACTATCATCGTTCTCAACTTCGGTATTTTCAGCACTATTAATATTATGTCCTCTTTGTATTTTTCACTTCCTTGGCTTTTAGAGAAAAATGAAAAGCGGGTAAGCCTCAGGGATGCTAGGAAGACTGTTTGCTTTTGAGTTACATCGATCTAATAAACCATTTAATTTTCTAGCATCTACTGGAAGCAAGCTTGTGTACAGCAAAGGTTGAAGCGTATTGTTTTGCAGTCTCATTGTGTTATAATCAATATTACTATCGTGAGAGCATCAGCATCTCCACAATAGTCTTTGTTCCAATTTTCAGATTTTGCCTTTTATTCAAAACTAATGGACCAACCGCAGACAGGGCTCTTTAGCCCTCACCAGTACGATATATATAGGTCTGTATCAGGTCCAGACTTGGAGATGAAAGAATAAAAAGCAAAAGCAAAACCGAGGACTGTAGTAATTGAATTCTCTGTTAAACTTTTAAATTTCACAGGCATGAGAGGAACATGAGACCGCGATGCTGCAGATCCCAATGTATAATGTGCGGTGTTTGAACATTTTTGTTGTGTTAAAAGGATTCATTACCATTTATGAACCAAACTTGCCTGAATTTAACGATTCAACAACTGCTCTTAGCTTCTTTTAGTTCGCTTTGAAAACTGCTCTTTTCGTACATACTTGAAACGTTTTCGGTTAAACTATGGCGCGAAAGTCATAGTAAGTCAGACTGTAGGTCTAACTCTGTTTTTTTTGCATCGAAGACTAAAGCAACTCAATTTGATGTGGTTTTTGCGGGAGCAACCACCACTATTATACTTACTATATGACGTAGGAGATTTACTGGTTGCCTATAGGCGCATGACTAAGATACCATATTCTACCACCAAAGAAAACCGGAAAAAGTCTATCGATACCTTATAGTAAGTCAAAAGCAAAGATATAGTCTTCGTTGCAGTGGTCGATGTGTTATTTTTTGACATGCGATTCTGAGAGTGTATGAGAAAACAATATATTTTTTTGTATAAGTCACAAACCATTTCTTCTCGTGAAGCGGAATGCGTTTTTATCAAGAAGGCACTTGTTCCAAAAGGGATACTTTACTAAAATTATATTTCTGACAGTTTGTGTAGGATGCGCTGTACTTCAATATCACCGTCAATATATTCACAAAATAACTGCAACAATGCTAAAAATCGTCGGTTGTTGATAGAAATTCTCAAAACCTTGACATCCATTTTACAACGCACTAGATTTGAATCACAATGAATCAAGCTATTTTTAGTTACATATACCATTAGAATATAAAAATGTTCAGACGATCAGTGCAAATTCTAGTATCAACAACACTGTTACAAAAAAGCTTAAAAGTATCACATTAAATCAGCAGGGATTTTTTAAATCTTTCTTAACCTCAAGGATCTATAGTTGAACTCATGCTCTTATTATTTATTAAATACACTGACATTATGTATCAATGAATCTAACATAAGCAAAATTGCTGTTGTAGTTGAGGATTTGAGAATCTTACAAAATGTGAACATTTTAAAATAAAACTTACCCAAAAGCAGGGTCTTCTTTCAAAAGTACAAAAATAATTCATTATAAAGCTTAAACATTGGTCTACTTTAAGGTCTAGATGAGGTTCAGCACTTCCTCAAAGACTTGACAGCGCCTACAAAAATGAATCGACTGTAATGACGATTACGTAAAATAATGAACCAATGTTTAACTTTGTAATGTCCGCGGAAATAAAACGTTCGCCAATTATGGTCTAACAAACAAGATTAAAAATCGCTTCAAAATAAAATGCCCTTCTAGTGCAACTTTAATGTAGATACTAACCGACCTTTCAAGCATTGAATATACTCATTCAGAAGTTTGATTAATTTGAAACTTCTCACATGTATCAAGGACCGATGACAATCCAATAAATTGACAACAGTTTTCTATTATCCTTATGAGAAAAATTCTGTAAAAAGCAGATTTGCTAATAAAAAGCCAGGGATTTCAAATGCCGCTTTACGAATACTGAAACTACAAGCCTCTGTAGCTTAGTGGCAGAGCACTGGTCTTGTAAACCAGGGGTCGTGAGTTCAATCCTCAGAGGAGACCGATTGTGGTATACCTGTTTTTTATATTATATAACATATATATAACTTCGAAGTTGAGTCATTTATTTTAACAGTGAGTAGATCTGATCAAAAGAAATGTTATTTTCCTTTACCATTTTTCTGGTAAAATTAAAGTAACAAAGTTATAGCCCTTTGGAAGTTTGAGTACCGCCCTGTCTCAATAATAATATTATGTGCTCGTGTTTGGCGACAACGGATATAATCCGCCTTATCGGTTCATCGCATCGGAAACAAAAAAGCGAAATAATTTGGAACGATGTTTTTACAATTATTTCATTCAGTTGTATACAGTCAGTGTCAGTCGGTAGTGAATAGTGGTGTCTGTTGCGTGGCTCAAACGAAGTTTATGCGGATCGGTTTCCCAATCGAGTGCAACCAACCCCTCGTGCCTTTGTTAATGTAGTACAACGGGTTCGTGAATCATTTGACTTAAGACCTCACATATGGACGGCATGCCGGTGCTCCGAGACCTCACGATCAAATACAGGTCCGCACTGAAATACTTGTCGGGAGGATACTTTATAAAACCAGGTAAAATTTTTTTTTTATTTTTTTTTATTTTTACACACATATTTTGGTTTATCTTCCTTCTACAATCATTATCTGAAAATTAATGAGTCAACTGATTGTACGTTAGAAGGAAGATAAACTAAGATATGGGTGTAAAAATAAAAGAAAATTAAAAAAAAATGTTACCTTGTTTTATAAAGTATCCTCCCGGTAAATAAGAATCATGTCCACAAGTTCAGCACTTTCGTAAACATGTGCCATTTTTTATTTCGTTTGAGCCACGCAACAAACACCACTATTCACTCACGCGTTACCGACTGACACATTGACTGAATAAAATTGTAGTAAAAACATCGTGATAAGCGTTTTAAATTCTTTCGCTTTTTTGTTTCCGATGCGATGAACCGATAAGGCGGATTATATCCGTTGTTGCCAAACACGAGCACATAATATTATTATTGAGACAGGGCGGTACTCAAACTTCTAAAGGGCTATAACTTTGTTACTTTCATTTTACCAGAAAAATGTTAAAGGAAAAAAACATTTCTTTTGATCAGATCTACTCACTGTTAAAATAAATGACTCAACTTCGAATATATATTATTCAGAATAAAAAAAATGTAAAAATGTATGTGAGTAGTGCAACGTTGCCAGATTATATCAGGCATTTAAATGTATGGTAAACTGATAATGTAATTTGCAACTTTAGAAGAAATTTTAAGGGTAATGCGAGGAATTTGTTTGTCGGCTACAATTGCTTATTCCCTGCTGATCATTTTGAACAGATTAGACAAGCGATTTTCTTTCATAATCACGTGTGTTGTTTTTTTCCAAAAAATTATAAAAAATGTCTTTTGCCCAGACAAATTTTTTTCATGTTTCTTGTATCGTTTTGAACAAAGCGATTTAATGTCTGAAAATCTCTATATTCAATGCTTAAAAACTCGTTTGAAAATTATAAATTAAAACCTTGCTCTGCAAAACCTCTAAGAGTATTTTGAGGTTAGTTTATTTTAAAACTATTTTTAAGCTTATTTGTTAGGCCAAAATAGGCGAACTTCTGAATTCGCTTTGGAAATAAACGGTTTTCGTTTTTTTAATAGGAGACCATATTTTTGGATTTATCATCGGATAATGTTTCGAGAGCACAAAAATTCACTATAGTGCAGTGTAAATCGAGTTGGTTTTGAGATATGAGTGAATCGAGTCAAGTTTCTGGCTTATTACCGTATCCATTATAAGCCTCATGAATTAATTGTATGAATAAATAAATTAATCAGTAACTGCAATCATTACCAACCATAGCAAAAAACAGTACAAAAAACAATTATTTAGGTCAAATACTTGGATAGTTTATGCCACAAAAATCCGATTGTTCCCCACTGTAGATTTGATAGCAAAAGTGTAACTGTTCTTATTGCACTTAGATCAAAAATATCGCTCGCATTTCCGTCATTCTTTATGAAGCTTAGAAACCATCCTTTGCTACCTAGCATATAATGTAGAAACATCAGATCTTTGAGAGATGACTCAGCCTAGTGCTACCATATTCTTCACTTCTCTTCTTTTACCATATAAAAGACATTCCAAACAAACGTGAACAATGATTGAAGGCAGAAAGTACATCCAAAATTAAAAAAGTTCCTATAAATAATCTTGTTGTATTACCAATATACAGAGTCTTGTAAGCTTCAACGCCACTGAATTAGGATAAAACATGAATATTGTTAGAAATGACGCATAGTTTTCTTACAAATGTTGTCACTGTAATTTTTCAAATTAAATTGTTTATGGCTATGATTCGCATGATTTTCTTCAATAATTGAGATATTGACATGAATAAAAAAACGAGCTGTTGATAAAACTTGAGGCATCAAGTTCACATACGAAGACACATTATTCAGTAATCCAAAGTTTCCGCAGGGTGTGCAGAAACCTAGGGCAAAATGCACCTTTTAGTTACACTCTGTATAACAACAAATATTTTCATTTTTTTGCAAGATCAACAGTCGATAATGACGACAGTGAAATTACCCACAACTTGACGAAAAAATTAACGAAATTGATGCAAAGGTTAAAAACTTATTTCAAATTTAATTTGAGCAAAATTTCGTTTGACCGGTTAATTTTGCGTGGCAGTATAGTTTAATCCATTCCAAAGATATATTTATTCAGAAGATTTGAAAACTACAACTTCAACACCCCGTGTTTTAGTAAGAGGGCGTTTTACGATATTTCTATATATGCACTTTTATATTTTGATCTATATTCCTGCCAGGTTCTCTTGAATCACCCTGTAAATTGGAAAATTTTACTTTCGGGAGATTCAATTTGATGTAATCCTGAAACTTGTCATGTATATATTATCTCTCCGAATCAAACAACATATATGTTTTAATTTCTCTTTAGGCCATCACTGTGGCCCTTTTCAAGTACAATAGAGACAAATTAAAACTTATTCAGTGCTGGCCAGTCTTTTTCCCTTTTAGATTTCGATGCGAATGAGAGAGATACTGGGGGCGGAGTTCCAGCCACGCTCCTCGTCCTCCTGCACTACCGTTGTCTGGCAACGACAGTAGAGGCGGGGTTATAGCCGCGCTGCGCGCCTGGCAACTACAGTGGGGGAGGAGTTACAGTTACTCCACGCCCTCCTTCACGGTTGTTGCCAGGCAACGTGGTGACTATGCTTATCGAGGGCACTCTTTCTAACACGCTTCTTACTACTCTGTCTCTCTTTCTCGTAGACATTGAAATCTAAAAGAGGAAACAACATTTGCCAGCAGTGTATTCGGCCAGACAATGGAGTCCTAAGATTCAGATTGGTAGTATCAGGCCGACCCATCCAGCAATTTACAATATTACACATCTGATTGTTCTAGAAAATATAACACTTAAACGAAGTGTCACAGTAACAGAAGTTGTCGATCACGAAATGCATGTCACAAGCAATCCTCATGTTCCTCCATATCATTGTCTATATCCCCATCTTGATCCATATCGTCATGGTCCATTCCTGGAGACATCTGCTGATGGATGATGGTCTGTGATTGGTTCTTCGGGTCCTCGTCTTTCCATTTGTCCATGGATCTCCTTCTGGCGTTCATGAAGAAGTTGCCCACTGTAGTCGGTTCCAAACCCAGTTGCCTGGCGATGGTCACCTGCATTTCTTTTGACGGCCTCTTTGTCTCCTGAAAATTTTCAAAAATATTTGAAAAACTCCAATTACAATTTGCATCTCACAGTAGGCTGCACAAAAATATAAATAATAATGTGTTAAGTGCCATTACACAAATATACATATTGTGGTAAATAATTTTAAAAAAACATAAGAAGCAGCTTCTAATGAATATTGGTATTCAAAAGATCTTCATAAAATTATCTATTTTCTTCCTTCAAATAAGGAATCATTGCCAGTAGATCTTGCTTTTTTCCTTTAGAAATTCTACTTTGGCAGGTCAGGTTTGGAAGAGTCATTTTTGCGATAGTTGCAGTAGTTCTTTTTTTCCTTCAAAATCTTTGTTGTTTTCCAAGGCTCTAGTTCGTTCAGGGTTTCTCGGATGCTAACGAATCCTGGATCTTCTCGGTTAATATTGACCCAATGAGCTTTCGAAATTTGAAGCTTGGATGTGTTGATTGAACTTTCAGAAGCAACTTTAACTTCGAAAAAGTCCTTACGGTTCATGATTGTAACAAAAAATGGTGTTTCTTTCACTGCTGCTGTCATCGCAAGAGGGATCCGACAACAAACTCACTAATGGAGGCTAATTTCTATTAAACTCTCCACCACCCGATAAATCCGCAGCCCTGCGTGTGAAACTATTTCACAAAATCGGGTAGTGGGCCGCTGAATTTCTACACGAGATGAAGAGTAGAATATGATTTTCTACCACAAAATTCCCTGTTGGTTATGGCACCTAGAACATTTTAGAAGTATGAAATTAAAAACCGATGTTTTGGCACTTAGCACATTATTTACTTCAAGTCTTCAGTTTGTGTGACACAAAACTCAAAATTTCAAGGATGATCAACTAGGTTGCACCACTACAAAATAATGTTTAAAAGTGAACTGATCTTCGGGTATGAGAAGGACCTATCAATTGACTATGTTTACTTAAGTAAGGAACACCCTATGGAACAATACTAACCTTAAAAATAGCCTGCAGTGTACGGCGTTGTAGGTCTGTAAAAACCAGCCTGGGTTTCTTCGGTGTAGGCAGTTGATCCGAAGTGGTCGAAGGATCCTCTTTCCTCTTGCAGCCTGTAATGGGGCCAAAAACAAAATTGTATTGTTACCATTCTTAAGGCCAGGCTGTCTAGATAACTGGCAACTATGGCAAATACACCGGCGATTGGTCAAACAAGCAATTTCAGGTTAAGAAAAATTTGATGTCAATGGAATTTTTTAAGCTCAATTGTTTATGGTTATGATTCGCATAGTTTTCTTACCAATGTTGTCACTCTAATTTTTTAAATTAAATTGTGTATGGCTATGATTCGCATGATTTTCTTCAAAACAGCATATATTCTTCAATAATTGAGATATTGACATGAATAAAAAAAGAACTGTTGAGAAAAGTTGAGGCTTGAAATTCTCATACGAAGACACATTATTCAGTAATCCAATGTTTCCACAGGGTGTTCAGAAATTTAGGGCAAAATGCACCTATTAGTTACATCCTCTATAACAACAAACATGTTTAATTTTGTTCCAAGATCGGCAGTCGATAATGATGACAATTACCTACAACTTGACGAAGAAATTAACGAAATTGATGCAGAGGTTAGAAAGTTATTTAAAATTTAATTTGAACAAAATTTTGTTTGTCCGGTTAATTTTGTGTGGCAGTGTATATACCGATGCATATTCAGGAAGCAATCTCTAGTTTGTTACAATAGTGTGCATAAAAACATAAGCAAAACTTCAAAAGTTCAGCGTACTTGTTATTACAGAGTTCAGAAGCTTCTTAATTATGGAATGACAACCAAGATGCAGCTACCCTTTACAACCCCCAATTTTCACCAACTACAATTTTTTTCCAGAAAATGATCAAGTGCGATTACGAAACTTTCTCGCCATTGGGCGGTGGGAAGTAAAAAAAATTGCTTAAAAAAATGTCTCCCACGAGTGCCAGATTTTCGTTTTGTCGATGATGATATTCAAGCTAAATCTACCAAAAACAATAATATTCTGAATTTTGTTTGCTTTAATGCTTAATTTATTACCTCTGATCCAGTCGTCACTGTTCATGTTGTACATCAATGATTCACCGTCAGCATCTTCCATATAATTGACGGTATCATCTGCAAAAAATTGATACCTAAATCATTGATATACAACACAAGCAGTAGCGATCCTAAAATTCTACCTCATGGCTCAAAATGCAAAATGTATTTTCGCTAAGAATTTTGTAATTACCACTTAAGGTCGCACTTACGTTTTGCCACAATTCATAGAAAGGCCAGAAATGTTTATATGTTTATATTTTACTAATATTAGCAATGGACTGGAAATTTAAAAAAAAATGTCCATACCATGTTTAATGTTAATTTGTACAATCCCACGCACAAGCTTGTTTCTGTGGGTTTCCTGTTCGTTTACCATTCTAAACTGTGTACGCTTTTGTATTCAGTTTACAATATTATCGTTATTTTTGGTTTACTTTCTGGTCTATTCGGAAATAAAATTTTTGCAATTAAACATTTCAAAGCGTATGTATTTTTAGAGTGAACACCAACCAAGGAAACTCAAAACTAAATTTGATTGTTGTTGACAACACAAGCCGATAAAATAAGAAGAGAAATTACCTATATAAAAGTAGCAAGATAAATTGAAATTTTTTGAAAATGAGGATGTTATTACACAGATTTTTTGATAATCTCTACCACATTTAATGACCTAGAGTAATTTGTGATACAGATATTTATATTAAAAAATGTTCAAGAGTTGAGAAGCTTTATTTAGCCTAGGCTAAAGGAACTTTTTGGGCCTGCCGTTCATCTCGGCAGTTATCACCACCAGAAATATCGAAAAGTGGATATTTACCGGGTACGCCATCTTTTATGTCGGTATTGAAACATTGAATGACTTTGACATTTACCAACCGAGTGATTTGGCTATACGTGTTTCTGAAACGTCAATTTACTACAATTGTAGTCATGAATCGCTTTTCACCGAAACAACGCGCCGAAATCGTCACAACGTGCATTGAAAATCGTCGTTCAGTTGTGTTAACGCAACGTGTATATTGTCGAATATATCGTGGCAAACAGGCACCGTCTGACAATACTATCTGTCGTTTCTTGAGTACGGGACAGTGGGAGATCATCAACATACCGTTCATCAACGACCAAGACATTCCAATGAATTGGTTGAAGCGGTCAGAGACAGCGTTGCCCGGAACCCAAAAGTGTCGTATCGTCACCGCGCTCAGCATTTTGGCATCAGTGGAACCACGTTGCGGCACATCTTGAAGGATCTTTTTCGTTATAAGGTGCAGTTAACACAAAAAATATTGCCAACTGACCGTCCGCGTCGCTTGGAATACGCCCAAACAGTCGTTCGCATGGTTGATGCTGAATCTGATTTTTGGAAGCAAATTGTGATGACCGACGAGGCCCATTTCACGCTCTCTGTCGTTAATAAGCCAAACTGCCGCATTTGGGGGACGTAAAATCCCCATTAGATCCACGAAATGCCGTTGCATGACCGGAAATTGACTGTTTGGGCTGGCGTTTGCGCGAAAACCATCATTGGGCCATTTTTCTTCAACGAAAACGAAACCGTCGATAGAAATCGATAACGGTGCATGTTGGCTCATTATGTCTGTCCACAAATGCGTGAAAAAGGTCTTTATAGTTACTGGTTTCAACAAGATGGTGCGCCATGCCACACTGCAAACGAAACAATCCCGTTTCTGCAACGAAAATTCCCTGGACATCTGAGGCGACATTGACTGGCCACCCAGGTCTCCAGATTTGACCCCACCGGACTTCTTCTTGTGGGGTTGTTTAAAAAGTGAAGTGCACGCCAGCAAACCCAAGACCACTGAAGAATCGTATCGCAATCACCGCTATACCACCAGAGATGCTCGAAAAAGTAATGGAAAACGCAGCAAAACGGGCACATTTTGTTTTGGCCAATAAAGGTGGCCACTTGATAGATGTTGTGTTCAAAAAGTAGTCCCAATAAATTGTAAAGGACCATATTTAATAAAAATACCCTGTATATAGAAATCAGTTTTTCGTTTTCAAAATAATTTCATGTTTATATACCGACATAAAAGATGACGCACCCTGTATAATATGACGAAGTGACGTAACGCTCCTCCTTATGGTCAACGTAACATGGCAAATCAGTATCTGGACGGATCGCCTACTCTTACTAGTGCTAAAAGGACGCGCCTCCTGAAAAATAGCTAAATTGGAGTTACGCCTCTTTGTCTTTCCTCACATCCGATTTATTCAAGAAAGTGGTTTCGAAGGTCGTATTCACAGCTTATCCGACAAATTTTAACCACATATGCACTGTTACGAAAGAAGTTGATTTCTTAAAAAAATGTAATAAAAGTCCTACAGAAATTAAGTTATGAACGTGAGTTTTAATAATAAATTGAAAAATAAATATCTGTATTTTGCGTTCATCGTCGTGATATTAGAACACGAATTAATAATTTATTGTAGCAAACGTTGTACCAAACAACTGACGAAAACAAAATACCAGGAATTTTTCGTTTTTCATACTGAAAAGAACGTATAAATAAGATTTAATCTATATCGTGGGTGATCTCAATGACGAACGGTCGATTTTTGTGAGGTTGAATAAGAAAGTATTTTGCGAGTTTATGTTTTAAGTTATGCATTAATAAAAATGGCATGTGTACACTGATGAGGAGTTAGTGGACATTGTTTTAGCGTACGTGGAAGCAGGGCAAAATTCGCGAGCGGCTTATCGTTTGTATGCACACCGATTTCCGAATAGGCACATACCACATCACGAAACATTTACTTGAAATGTTTTACGTGCACGTGCTGGTGGGGATTTGCGCCCCAGACGTGGAATGGATGGGGGTCGGGTTCGTTCACAACGCGTTTCAGATGCCGAAGACGAAATTTTGGATATTGTGGAAAAAAATCCGGGAATAAGCACAACGCAGGTCACATGCAACAGCGTGGCGCATATTACATGAGGCCCAACTGTACCCTTATCACGTCCAGAGAGTCCAGGCGTTGCAACCTACAGACTACCCCCTAAGAGTAAGATTTTGTGAGTGGTTGTTGCAGGAAAATGCTCGAAATGCCCGTTTTACAGCTGATATTTTGGACACCGATGAAGCTATTTTGACTGGTAATGGGATAACCAATCTTCGTAATACACCCGTTTGGTCCTTTGAGAATCCTCGCGCAGTGGTCAAGATATAATTGCATGGCCTCCACGGTCTCCCGATCCAAATCCTCTGGACTTCTTTCTATGGGAATACTTAAAAACCACAGTGGCTGCCGATAATTTGAGTTTGTGCTGAAAAAATGTCCCCGAAACTGGAGCTTGAAGTACCAGTGGTGCTTTGCAGGGTTGACATCTTAGAAGATTCCCCAAATTTGGGGGACTTTAATGTTCTGGGCGAAATCAATAACGTATCGTGGATAGAAAGCTCTTTGAACCAAACCTACCCCTTTCCATTAATTAACTGTGATTTGAGGGATTTTTTTGGAAAATGGCAATTCTGAGGGATTATTCTGCTTGTTCTGGGGAAATTCTGTAGCAACGCTGTAGTTTTGACAGATCCGCTATATGAACATTTTCACAATAATCTAAGAACCGGCTGCAGGTATTTTTTGTTTGTTAAAACTTGATTTATGCTAGGCAACCCTGCAGTAATCTGTTCTACTATTATTTGTCATTCATAAAGATCAAGTTTTATCAAAGAAACAGATGCCTCAGAAACCCCGCGAATATGCAGTAGCTGGTATTCGGTCAGGCATCAAGTTTTGGAATATAGGCATATTTGACAGGTTCGACTGTGAGTTTTAATGCTGGCTGTGTTGTTAGTTTTTAAAGGGCCAACGGTTGCCTAGTTACCGGGTTTGGCCTTCTCACACGACTTCGTTGCAGGTGTTCGTAATTTTAAGAGACTGCTAAATCTATTTCTACCCCATGTTGAACTCAATCAACTTTACTACCGGACTAATTCGTTTATTATAGGGAAGTCAGCTAATGATCTCGAGGGCGTAACATAGTTGCGCCTTGTATGAAACAGGTAC